GAGATGCTGCAATAAAAAAAGCAAAAAATGCATTAAAAGAAAATAACCATCCACAAAAACTAATAAACAAAATATTCAAAGATAGACTCCAAAAATTCTTAAACACAAAAAACAATCAAAATTAAATAGAAAATAAAAAGATTAAAAAAGATATACGATATATTGCGCTCCCCTTCGTAAATGGGTTGTCTCAACAATTACAAGGGTTACATAAAAAGTATAATATAACGATTTGTTATAAAGCACATAACTTGTTAGCTAATAATTTCTCTAAACTAAAATCTGTAACACCGTTAAACAAACGAAGCAATGTTATATATGAAATTCCATGTTCGAACTGCGCCCAAGTTTACATAGGACAAACTTCTCAATGGTTAGAAAATAGACTGAAAGGGCACAAGTATTATAAAAAAATGTAACCGCCCTCACAAATCATGTGTCAACAGAAAATCATACATTCGATTTTAATAAAACTAAAATTTTAAAAACAGAAAATCACCAAAAAAAGAGAGAATTTTATGAAATGGTGGAGATACAAAAAAAAAAAAGAAACAAAAACGCGGTAAATGATAAAAAGACCTAAAAATCTAAGCAAAATATATCTGTCGATCCTCTAACGCACTAAGAACAGTAGACATCGGGTATTGAAACGATAAATACGTACGTGCTCTATAGTAAAGTGTAATGTCCAAAACAATTAAAAACAATAGTTAATATGTGTTATTGTGTTGTCCAGTTTAACAAATTTTAACTCTGTAAGAATCTACGTTCAAGGTAAGACCTTTTAGTTTGACATTTTATCTTATTGATTTTAACTGACTGTTTTTATGTACTTAAAGAGGCTTGAAAAAGACATATACCGTCGAAACGTCGTCACAAAATAAAAAAATAATGAACAAAATCTAGAAACATCTTTGCAACCCCAACGACCTATATCAATATATATCTATATCTACATCTATATATATATATATATATATATATATATATATATATATATATATATATATATATATATATATATATATATATATATATATATATATATATATATATATTATATATATATATATATATATCGATATATATATATATATATATATATATATATAAATTTTTTATTAGAATATGTCTTTGTCGAAGCTGTAGGTTCATTTGCTTTGAAGATAAAAAATTAAATGCAAAAGGTCTGAAAATCCCAAATTTAAATTTTTTTTTATTTAAATGGGGAAATTATCATGATTCCGGCACGGTTTAAATTAAAAATTAAGAGCTTGTTGACGTTGAACAATTTTTTTAGAGCAAAAACTAAAATTTCAGAGGGCGGCAGCAAAAAAAAATCAACTTGGAAAATAACGGACACCCTAATATACAGTTATTAATTACATCAACATAACTCACCTCTTTATCAGCGCGTAAGAGACATAAAGGGTCATTATTACCGCTTTCGCGTTCAAAATAATCTAATATGGATGGGATGATTTTTTTTAAGTGTCAAAACGAATCAAAATGTAAGGAAATAAATAAATAAATGTGGCAACTTGACATTTTTACAGTAGAGCTACCATCTGAATCGCAAGCGGGAAATTTAAATTCCAGTTAGTCAGATCGGCGCTAAATATGTCCATGGTTGGCAAAAATGAATTCAATATCGCGCCCTCGATGATGTAACTATAAGTTTATTTGGTATCGACTATACATATACGTCGCCTTCCACACAAAGTGTCGTAAATAACATTTTGCAAATTTAGAGTAGCAGAGTGAAAAAAACGTCTTTTAGTCTGAGCTAAACAATCTTTGTTAGATATGCCATTTATTTTGTCTGCCACAGCTAAAGAGCCTTTAGTGTTGCAGTTACGACACTTTGTGGGAACATGCAGGAAGTAACTCATTTTTTGAATTTTCGTTATATACGACACTTTATGTGGAAGGCGACGATAAGATTAAGCTGTTATTTACTCCGGGGTCGTTATTTTCGATTCTATGGTGCTCGTGGAACAAAATCACATGAAGCTGATTTTTGGTTAATATCTAGCTTTGGTCGCCCCGATTAACATACAAAAAGTCCCCATTCCTCCGAGAGGGCAAACCACCCCAAAACCATCCCCAAAGGTACATTTTTTTCGTTTTCGCCCATTATCTCGAATATGGTTGATTTTTTCAAAAAAAGACTAGACATTCAAATTAAATCCAATAAAATTATCTACAAATTGATGTATATAAGTCTATATTTTAATATACACAGTGGAGTGCAGCAAACGTCTTAAGTCGACAAAGTCCATTTTTTTGTACATTTTTTAAAGTTTTTCTTATTTATTTAAAAAATGGTTGATTTAAGAAAAAAATACTACATAACAGAATGGAAGCCAGTAAAAATACCTACAAAATAGTGTATATATTTAAGTTAACACAGTGGCGTACACTAAAGGTCTTTATGTTGGTGTTAATATTTTCCATTGTGTAGCGTAAAATTAATAGGTACCTTATTTAAACAAAGTGTTCTTCGTGGTCATCCTCGTTTTCATCAACTTGCTTAGGGACGAGAACATTGCTACAGGACTGTTCTTGGCATTGCCCACAAAGATTGGAGCAATCTAATCCAGCTATCCAGCTTTTCTGCAACTGCAAAGTTTTCCACAATCTATCCTACAGTTGCAGAACACCAATTTTAAAATAAAATTATTAACAGTTGTTGGCAGCAAAAGCTCCCCCTGTTTTTTCCATCCCCAAGAGGTAGCATCCAATTCAATCCCCAACCATGCCTGAATTTGGTGATACATCCGCAAACTGTGGTTGGATGCAGCGTCGGATGTTGGCGGCAGAGATGGCAAGGAGAAGTTCGAGTTGAGGCTTTGTCGCGCAGTATTGTTGTTGAATTTTAAGAACCGGAGTTGATCTGTTTTTATTGATTTACCGGCTCCATATAAAATTAAAAGAAATTATTCTCCTACAAAAATTAATTCACTTTTGTTGGCATTTGGCGTTAAAAAAACTGCTACTTTCCTTTGTAATTCCGGATTTTTTTCTAAAAGCTTATAGGTTGACAACTTTCCCTTTTTATAAATTGCCGAAGTCGTGTCACATCCAGAAATGGCATGGCAAAATAGGATAGAGGTTGTAAGGACACCTATCTGGTTCTGCAGGGAACCTATGTGCGTGATTCTATTAGATTTTGTGGCTTGGCCAGGTCTTAACATGTCTGATTTTGTTTTAAATAGCAGTAAAACCATTAAGTCAGTGTCTTCTCCAACCAATGTTACTCGAGTTTCTGATTTTCCTAATTCTAAAACTTTGTCCACTATAAGTATAGCTGCATCACCGTCTGCCTGAAATACTTGAACTCCAGCTTCTTTAAGGTTTTGAATCAGTTGTTTAATAAATATCGACTTATTGTTCTTATTCGAAAAAAATTGTGATTGGTCGATGGTTGCCATAGTGTCTTCCGAAAATTGGACGTCAGCACAAGTATTTTTTTCACACCAACGCGCGACGCCGGAGTAACTGTTCTTGAATTTTTGTAGGAAAGTCCTTTTCATACCCGTCAAACACAACAACGCATTTTTGGTCGTAATTATAAAGAATATAACTTATGTATTGCTAGTATAAAACCTTGTAAGTGGCTGGAAATTACCAGATGACTTTATGAAGCAAGTGTCCTCTATCTACGACAAAAATCGTATCTTCGGGAGTGGTATTAAATGGAGTACATTTTTTATCAAATAATCCAAGCAGCGCAGATTTCTTTGTTTTTTTGAAAAGTTCCATTATCGTTCCTCAAGTCGAACTTCTCCTTGGCATCTCTGCCTCCAACATCCGACGCTGCATTCAACCACACTTTGCGGGTGTATCACCAAATTCAGGCATGGTTGGGGACTGAATTGGATGCTACCTCTTGGGGATGGAAAAAACAGGGGGAGCTTTTGGTGCCAACAACTGCTAAAAGGCCCATTGCCCCAGATTTTATTTTAAAATAGGTGTTCTGCAACTGTAGGACAGATTGTGGAAAACTGTGAAATTGTAGAAAAGCTGGATTAGCTTGCTCCAATCTCTGTGGGCAATGCCAAGGACAGTCCTGTAGCAATGTTCTCGTCACTAAGCAGGATGACGAGGATGACCACGATGAAGACTTTGTTTAAATCAGGTACCTATTAATTTTACGCTACACGATGGAAAATATTAACACCAACATAAAGAAGAGAATAGTGTACGCCACTGTGTTAACTTAAATATGTACTTATATATGCTACGCTCAATAGTTAAATTCGGGCAATGCTCGAAAAAAATACGCAAATCTAGTTTTGAGCAAGGAATATTTCCCAAACCCGAAAAACCAACTAACCAATGAATTAACACCCTCCAAATAACCACGCTAACCAACATGCCAAATAACTAAACCAATCCAATCAAAAAGAGTGAAACCAATGCAATCAAAGCACACTATAAGCAAAAAATCGAATAAAATAAATTTTTCGTGTTTGGGAAATATTCCTTGCTCAAAACTAGATTTGCCTATTTTTCTCGGGCATCGCCCGAATTCGACTATTGAGCGTAATATATACATGATTTTGTAGGTATTTTTACTGGCTCCCATTTAGTTATGTAGTATTTTTTTCTTAAATCAACCATTTTTAAAATAAATAACAAAAACTTTAAAAAATGTACAAAAAAATGGACCTTGTCGACGTTTGCTGCACGCCACTGTATAAATTAAAATATAAACTTATATACATCAATTTGTAGATAATTTTATTGACTTTAATTTTAATATCTAGTTTTTTTTTTGAAAAAATCAACCATATTCGAGATAGTGGGCGAAAACTAAAAAAATGTACCTTTGGGGGTGGTTTTGGGGTGGTTTGTATTCTCGGAGGGGTGGGGACTTTTTGTATGTTAATCGGGGCGACCAAAGCTAGATATTAACCAAAAATCAGCTTCATGTGATTTTGTTCCACGAGCGACCTTAAATGCCATTGGGGTAATTATGCTAACAATAAACTTACCTGGTATTAAGATGATTATACTTAAGGTGGTGTCGTATGGCTCTTCTACTCATATATTTTTTCTCACAGTGTGCACAGATAAAACATTGGCGTTCTTCTGGTGGTACCGGTTTAACTTTTTTCTTGTGTCTAAAGTTTAAAGAATTTCTGGTTAGGGAATGAATAATGTGGGGTCATTAATATAAAATGCATGACATTATTTATCATAATAAATATTTTTATGTTAACTATTCAATTACCTGGAATTATCCCTGGAATGATATCGCTCGATGTGACATATTAAAGTGGATTTTTGCACATATTTCTTGCCACAATGTGCACAACCAAACAAATTTCGTTCTTCAGGTGCCAAGTGAACTACCATGTGTTTGTTAAGATTTAAGTTATGCGGTGTTCGATAGTTACATATGGTACATTTATAGAACTTTTTCTGCACTTCCTTCGACCTAATAATTTTAAATATTACAATCTAGCAACTGTATAAAACAAGATTTGTTAAACATACAGGGTTATTCACCTCATTCGACGATTTGTAGCCAAATGATTTGATTGTTAGAATTTGTGAGTGATGAAATCGTTGGAAGACTACTAAGAAACTACAATTTAAAATCATTTTCAAAAGGTAAAAAGTGTCCCAAATAAATAAGAATATCAAAATTGTATTTTTTAATTAGTACAACCTGTATATTATGACATTTTTAGCATAGATTTTTAGTTTCTGCGATTAAAATAAAGGTAAATTTAATTATGTTTTGCCGCACTTTAATCTTACCGTTTTTGAAATATTTAAGTTTTTGTGAAAATATATATTTTAATGAAATAAACGGACTATATCGACAATATTAGTATCTGCACTCTTTAAAATTTTGTTATAGCTTTGAAAATATGTAATATAAAATGTCAATATTCCATGGGTATACTGATAAATTAGGTCTAAATTATAAGAAAATGCATTTTCTACGAAAACTTGAAGAGATAGATGAAAAATGGTATAATACAATTTCATAGACAATTAAATTTTTCTTCTGATTCCGATAAACTATACAGGGTGTTCCATTTAAATTAAACAAGTTATTGCCGTTTAAAGCTAGTAATTATTTAAAATAAAATTTTAGACTCTCTGTATAACGTAGTATCATTTTTATTATTGCAACACAAAATTTAGTAAATAGAAATACTTCAGTACAATATTTTGTTTTAAAAACTTAAATACGCCTAGAGAAATGAAGAATTAAAATTATTACTGTATTTTGACAAAAACCTAAATATTTCAAAAACGGTAAGATTAAAATGCGTTGAACCTTAATCAAATGTACCTTTATTTTAATTGTAGAAACTAAAAATGTAATAATATACAGGGTGTTGATTTAAAAAATACAACTTTGATATTTTTTATTTATTTGGGACACTCTGTATCTTGTAAAAATATTTTTAAATTGTAGCTCTAATAGTCCTTCAACGAACCCAAAACTTACAATTTGCAAAAAAAATCTAATCGTTTAGCTAGAATACCCCGTGTCGTATGTGGTGAACAACCCTGTATATACGACCAGTTGAAAGACCGAGAGACAAAATAAAAAGCGGCATACAGTGTTGCCGGTTCGTACGAGAAATAAAATAATAAACGAAGATAATATATCTTAGCTATTCCATAAATTCATTTATGTTAGACAGTTGTTTAAAAATCTATTACAGCTATAGTAAAATGAGTAACTAATTGTGAAAAATGAAGTTCCAAACCTAGATGCAACATTTTTCGTAAACACTTACTAGTGCGGTTTGAAATTTTGATACAAAATCCAGCAATACCGCACAGAATAAATGTATCGACCTAACTTTTATCTCTTTTAATACATTTGATTTTTCATTTAAGCTGTCTACATCACTGTCTTAGGCTAAAAACATAGTGGAGGATAGCGGCGAGCAAACAGCGCGATACCACGTCGAGCAAGCCTCGAGGTGCTAAAACATAGTAGAGCGGCGAGGAATAGCGAGGTACTTGTGCAAATTTATTATTTTCATTTGCTTATTGATAATTTAAATGTAAACAGTGGCTAAAATTATTGGCGGTAGTGTCGCAAACATTTGGTTATATGAAATTTTCAAAAATCGGAGAAAGTGTGGCAAGTTTTATAACCTTTATGAAAATTTGTTGCCACTGCATCTCATAACTTATCGAAAATGTACCGGTTATGGTGATTACTATCTTTCTGATCTCATAAAATCTCTCTTACAAATACTAAATCTATTAATTTTTGGGAATTTATCATTTTCTACAGCGCCACAAAGCGACGAAAACAAAATTATTTGAATCGATCTCACCGCTCGATCTAACCGCTCGAGCAGATCGCCTTTACTATGTTCGCACGTACTTGCCTCCACAGGTTTGTTTTGGACGCGATGTCGCATTGCTTGCTCGCCGCTATCCTCGTCGCTTCACTATGTTCTTGGCCTTACACGTTAAAATTCAGACCACGCTGTTTCGATGACTAGATCCGTATATTATTATGACCTATGACCTAAGTACCGTATGATCTCAAAAAAAATGTTGTTAGCGATGGCTATGAAATGAAGATCGCTGTCATTTTATATATGTAAATTTATATAGGATGTGTCATCGATCGTCATTTCCCAGCTAACTGGAACCAACTTTTCGATCATACGGTATAATAATTCTTATACTAATAATAATTACATATACCTGAAATTCTTATGATTAGTATCAAGGTGATAATCTAACCCGTATCTTGTCATATATTTTTTGCTACAATGCATACAAGCAAACAGCTGTCGTTCCTCATGGGCCAAGTGAACTTTTTCATGATTTCTAAGGTGTTGCATTAGTTGTGATTGGTAATCACATTTGGAACAACTGTAGAGCTTTTGCTCCGGTTTTTTCAACCTAATAAAATTATTTTTAAATATTAGTTTTGTAACTCTATAAAATAGAAATTTAAAGAAGCGTCCATTCTTCTCAAAGAGACCTGGTTTAAATTAAAAGAGAAGTAGAAAACATTTTGTCCATTTTTTTTTAATTTTGCCAAACAAAGAAAAACTGCTAGCTTTTTGCAAGAAACTTACCGAAAAACTACATACACTACATCTTCAAATGAAAAATCTAGTTTTGATGATATCTGAAAAAATTGAGAAAAACTGTTGACTGTCCTTTAAACGCAAAATTTCTTTTTATTATTGCTACCACGATCCGTATCCCCGACTACATGGTCCCCAGTCGTAGTTCCATTCATTATTTTAAGTAGTATTATTCAAAAAATAGAGAAGTTGTACCAAAAAACACTCATCTGGTAATGACAAACAGCGGTATATCCATAGATAAATGAAACAAGTTTAGATTGGAAAGTGCTCATAACGACAATTGTAAACCACACTATTTGGCGCTATTCTTGCAACGGTGGCGACCCAAAGCTTTTGATAATTTCGGATCGGTTCGGCTTTTTCCGGAATTATGTCGTCAAATATTGTTTATTCAAATTTATTATTATTTCCTTTTAATTTTATAAATAAAATACAGTGTGTTGCATACAAGAAACTTTTATATCATGTATGTGAAATACCTATGAAACATTGGAAACCGACGCTATGCCACGATCCACGATGGTTTTTGCAGTTCACAGTTCACAACACAGTTTTTTAGTTTTTAATGCCACTTTTCCACAATTATCACGGGTTTGAGTAAGTAAAATTTAAATTAAACTCACAAGATAGCAATAATTATTTTGAGAATGGACGCTTTAAACACTTTTCGGTATTTTTTTCAATGAAGGCGGTTTAAATTTTGAAAGATTTTATAATTTTTGAAAATTCTTGATTTGACTTTTACAAGAGAAAATTATTTCTGTTATTGTTTGCAGTTCTTCTTAGCAACCGCTATAGCAGCGCCAGATCGCGTACAGCGGTCGCGACCCAGAACAATTATACAGGGTAGCGCATCTCATTCGCCTCGGTTGATTATACGAAAACGGAAAGATGTAGAAACAAAATATTTTATGAGTATATGTGGGGAGGCAATGTGCACAATTTAAAATTATTTTGAAATGTACAGGGTGTGTCAGAACTAAGATCCATACCAAAGTTATATTTTTCGAACACCCTGTATTTTATTTAATTTTTGGATTCTTGGGCCCAAAAAAAGATATTTATTATAAGGGTTAAATATGTTTAAAATATTTGGTTTTTGAGATATTTAAAGATATTAAAAATGCTACAACATGCTACAACAGAATATATTATTAACACCCTATACATTGCTTTTCAGAATTAATTCTTGTGTTGACTTTTAAGCCAGAGAAATAAACTTTACTGAAAAATTTGATTGCTTCGTTTAATGTATACAGGGGTATCAAAAATTGCTAGTCCATTTTAAATATTTATTTTACATAAAAACTTCGTTGTTTCAAAACACCCTATATTTTTTTAAGTAAATCGAAGCAGATTCAAATGCTCTTTCAAACTATATTAGGGTTTTCTATACCTATCTAGCTCAGATTTAGAATAAAGGTCAATTTTTCAATAAAATGGCAACCAAGATCAAGTCAAGTTTCCAATAACAGTAGCTATTTTCAAAATCGAAATTAGTTTATGGACTTTACTTAAATTTATAGAAGTTTACTTTTATTTAATTTGCCTACAGTAGTTTAATAAATAATATTTATTAAATATGTATTTATTATTCTATCAAGAAAAACGAAGAAGTAGTTCTTTCATTTTTTTACGATCACTTGTAGATAATATATGGATTTTCTATAAAAGATCCAATTACGGCAAATTCATTTTCTTTACTTCCAACGACAGGTTTCTGCCTAATAGTTTTTTTTTATAAACCACACTACCATAGCTCTCCGAAATAGAAAAGTATTTTTGAAAGGAACGCTTATCAGGGCGATTCCTATTTAGATATCTTTGAGCATAAACCCTTGAGGCCACGAAGCAATTTTCCTCACAAAATAAAATGACTAGTACATACTACATATCCATCCGCTAGCAGATACTGCTTTATTTTTCTTGATAAAATAATGAATACTTACTTATTAAACTATTGTAGCTAAATTTAAGTAAACTGTTATAAATTTAAATAATAATGTCCATAAACTAATTTCGATTTTGAAAAGAATTCTAACTTTAACTAGAAAATTGCCATGGCAACACCAGCCATCTTGACTGCTATTTTATTGAAAAATTGCTTTTTATTCAAAATCTGAGCTAGATAGGTATAGGAAACTCTAATATAGTTTGAAAGAGCATTGAATCTGCTTTGATTTATTTAAAAAAATACAGGGTGTTGTATTTGAAATAACGAAGTTTTTATGTAAAATAACTATTTAAAATAGACCAGCAATTTTTGATACCCCTGTATACATTAAACGAAGCAATCAAATTTTTAAGTAAAGTTTATTTCTATGGCTTAAAAGTCAGCACAAGAATTAATTCTGAAAAGCAATGTACAGGGTGTTAATGATATATTTTATTGTAGCATGCATTTTTAAATATCTTTAAATATTTCAAAAACCAAATATTTTAAACATATTTAACCCTTATAATAAATACCTTTTTTGGGCCCGAGAATCCAAAAATGAAATAAAATACCGGGTGTTCCATAAGAAAAAATATAACTTTGGTATGGATCTTAGTTCTGAAACACACTGTACATTTCAAAATAATTTTAAATTGTGTACATTCCTTCCCCACATATACCCATAAAATATTTTGTTTCTACATCTTGCCATTTTCGTATAATCAACCGAGGCGAATGAGGTGCGCCACCCTGTATATTTAGACGGGCTTTCCAATCTAAATTTATTTCCTTTATCTATGAGAACATCCACAGCTCAAAAATGCATACTTCTGTTTGTCTACCGCCAATGGACATACAGCACATAGAAAGTCTAAGGTATTTTCGCCATTAAATTCGAATGGGATAAAATGAATTTAGAAAGTCGTTTCTGACATAATATTGTAACTCTGTTTATGTAGTTTGCAATGCGACCTTTTGGTTGAAAATCTTAAAAAATGGACAAAATGCATTTAGTAAGTCTGCTCCTCAAATATTCTTGTGCTTAAATTTGAGAAGTGAAAAGTTCTAGTCCACATATTTAGCGGAAAAACGCGGCTGTTGTCAATTTTATTGTCAAAATATTCAAGATTTTTCTTTAATGACAGATACTAAAATCGCAATTTGTCAGAATTACGTATACAGGGTGCTACAAATTCGGGGTACGGGCATTGGTATCTCGGAAACGGTAATAGATACGAATATGGGGCAAAGTTGCGTATGGAATGTTCGGCAACATGCTATCAAAAAAGTTTCAAAAATTTCAATTTCAAGATTTACTTTTAAGAGTTTTTTGAGAAAAACTGATTTTTTCGAAAATCAATTTTGTTTTTTCCTGACGTTACTTTTTAGAAAATTAAAAAACTAATTGCACATTTTAATAGCCACTTTATCAAAGCTATCTGATAGTATTTTTAGATTTTCAAATTAGCTGATAATTGGTGAGATACATAGAGCAACTTATTTTTTTTTAAATACGGACCTGTATTTTATATTTGTGGTTTTGAAAAAATTTAGTCTCCTGAGTACAACGATATGCCACACTTTATATATATACATTTTTTTGGTACTTTAAACAACAACAAAACTATTTAATCCTTATTTAAAATAATTTCAAGTCCGACTCTGTTTTTTTTTAATTATTTAACCTGATTATATTCATCGCAACAATACTGATGAGCGCTAATTAACATTGAATAAAGAAAATCGAGCCAATTGAAAGATTCAAATAAGTATAATTTCAAGGTCACCAATTTAAAGATATTATTTTTAACTTTTTTTATTGTGAATTTGAAATCTCAAGGTAATTAATATAAATCAACTTCTACAAACTAGTTTCTAATGCTCTGCATGTTCAAAACCCTCCTTATTCACACAATAATGCCTTGGCGTCAGGTCCTGGGACAACCCTATTGCACAAATTTATTTTTCGTTCATTTTATACCCTTTCAACAGATATTTTCCTTCTACTTCCGAATGCATTTATGTACTCTTTGTTGTAAATGTTGAGGTGTATTGATTTCACTTTTACAAATGAGTCCAAACAATGCCCCCCAGCCACTTGGCGACAGGTCCTGGAACCTCGCTTGCCATTATACTGCTCCACCGTTTCCAGTCCATCTTCCGAGGAAATGATTGAATTGTTTATATTATATGTATATTATATATTTTATATTATTTTTTAATATTTTATTGTAATTGATCTTCCATATTCAATGTTTTATCCCACGTCATTGTTAAGTTTTAAAGCTCATCGATATTGTAACGACAAATAGATTAAATATTTAAAGAAATAAGAGCCGGACTTCAAATTAGCTAGAAAAAATATTAAGTGTTGTATATATCATTGTACTCAGGAGACCGAATTCTTTCAAAACCTGAAATAAAAAATGCAGGTCCCTATTTGAAAAAAATAAGTTGACCTATGTATATCACAAATTGTCCGCTAATTTGAAAATCTAAAAATACTGTCAGATAGCCCTGATAAAGTGGCTATAAAAACGTGCAATTAGTTTTTTGATTTTCTAAAAACTAACGACAGGAAAAAATAAAATAGATTTTCAAATAAATCCATTTTTCTCAAAAAACTCAGTAATCCATAAAATTTTAAAACTTTTTTGATGGTATCTTGGGGAACATCCCAAGGCGGCAACTTGGCCCCAATTTAACCATGTTCGTATCTATTACGGTTACCAAGATACCAATACTCGTATCCCAAATTTGTAGCACCCCATATATGAGTTAGGCCTATTCACCTCCAAGCCAACGATATGATCTAATTACAACTCATACACAACAATAAATTTACCTAGAATGATTAGACTCAAGATGATAATTTAATCCGGCTCTTCTCTTATATTTTTTGTCACAGTGGACACAAGCAAACATCCGTCGTTCTTCCGGTGCCAAGTGAAGTTTCTTGTGCTTGCTAAGACTTGAACTATATTGTGATTGAAAGTCACATAAATCACATGTATAGACCTTAAACTGGGCCTTCTTCAGTCTAATAAAGAAAATTATTGCTTATTACTACAGTGTGTTCATTTTAAAATGTTACAATCTTGTAACTCTATAAAACAGGATTCCCTAAACATATAATCTCCCATATTTTCCCATGTTATAATTCACAGACAACTGCTGAACAGACAAAAAAAATTAGTTAAAAAAGTTAGAGCAGAATCAGTCCGCCAACCAGTTCCGAAAAACTAACATTTTATTTACTAGTGGTATTGAGCATTGTTTTTTTTATTCTGCAGCTTGACTACCGCCTAACAGTTTAAAAAGAAATGCTGCTGTTTAAAATAAAATAAATGATATAAAAAATTATCATAAAAAGATACAAAACTCTGACTTAAGCATTTTCTAAAAAGACAAATCTTTTTTTATTTCGGAAAAAAGATTCAAAGCACAAATCATTCGCTTCCTGACAAATACCGGAGTTAGGCAGGGATGTGTCCTAGCTCCTCTCCTATTCAACATATTCGTGGCAGCGCTCTCTATTATAGTGGACAGCAAACTGCAGGAAAGAGGAACGGGTGTTAGATACAGGATACAGGTATGACGGCGGTCTGTTAAAGACTCAGGGCAAAAATACGTATAAAATTCATCACAATGTAACTATGTCCATAATATCTGTTATATCCTTTGAATAAGAAGACTAAGGAAGGAGCATATCAAAAATCTTAGGTACACCGCGATGGGCCTCAAATATGGCCGATTTAAATTCCGGTTTATCAGTGTCGTTCTAATTTTATTTAAAAAATGTAAAACTATGATGTAGGGTAGACGTGGAGTAGACACAATAATTTGTTGTTTTATGTTACGTTGTGAATAAATGTTGGTAGTTATTAAAATTGTTATAAAAATATATAATTCTAATAAAAATAGATAAGTTATAATAAGTATTTATTAACACAAACATCCGATACGCTACTGAAGCAGGTAAGTCAAATTAACGTATCTAAATTCTTTGACAAGTAATAAATAAAAGCTAAAATGCAAGAAAAAATATATAATTAGTAGTTAATTTAAGTGAATTTCATAAATGATCGGTTTACACGTATGTATATTATATAGTCACTTACTGAAATTTGTTCCATTATTTAAACTCATTTTTGCTGAAATCTACACACGCTACACAACCAACTATTTTAGAAATCTCTTTTTCGATAAATCGCGATAATTAATCACTGTTAATTTAAGTTCTGCCACAATTTCCATCTAGATTTTTACCCTTTATACAACTATCAGTAGTAGAATAAATGAATAAATAACATAAAAAATAAGCTCCAAGGTAAAGACTGACAAAATCCACAAAATTTCAAATCAAATTCAAATGTGTCAAATGAATAGTCAAACAGAACTGTCAAGGATCCCCACCCTAGAGTGCTTTTATGGCGCTTTTTCCGCCCACCATGCATGAATACATGGATAGCATTATGCTCCTTCCTTAGTCTTCTTATTCAAATCTTCTCTTTCCCAGGAGGAACAACTCGAACGAACAACTCGAACGCAACTCGTATCCGTGTCGATGTTCATAAATTACTTTGTTAAATTTTAAAACTATGGAGTGTAGAGGTAAGGAGAAATAACTCTTACGGGACTTTTATTGAAAAAGTGGTCACAAAATGGGAAGAATAAGGGTTCGCCAAATAACCACAGTGGCGCTAAAAACGCATGATTCTAAAAAATGAAAAGTAACCATAGATAAGAGAATAAAAATAAATATAACCAAACAACATTACCCAAAAAATTTTTCGACTTTTTATTTTTCAGACAGAGTTTTTGAATATAAAATACTATTGTTTACTATCAATATTTTGTGCTTTATTTTATTATTTAACAATGGTTAAAGTGTGTGGTGCGAAAGTTGATTGAATAGCTGATGGAAAATAAAGAGGAAGAAGCAAAGCCTATGGTATGTAAAATACATAATATAATTCAGTATCGTATTATTTGTATTATGTAAAAATTGAGTCAATCAAAGAAAGTGTAGTAAACATTTTTTCGTAAGATTATTGACATACATGTTACAAAAGTATGTTTTACAATCTTTTTTTATAAAGTTACAACCTAACTAAAATTTATTTTTAATGATTTTAAGTTTGACAGACATGCACAAATTGTTGGCATTTTTTTAAACAAGTAAAAGTAGGGAAATACATAAAATTGTAGGTACTTTCAAGAAATATAGTTAACTGTGAGTGCTGTATTTCAATAATCAAAAATCAAAGTGTAAGCAGCATAAATATTAGGTATTGATTTTTTCAGACAAGAATTAGATTACAGTGATGGCCAAAAGCATTTAGATATTGCTTTGAAATCTACAAATAAGGTATGGCAGTTTCATTTTTAAGAACAAGATGTTTAAAGTTTGTGATAAAATTGTCATCAGAAAAAACTGTCCACTTCAGTATTTACATAGGAAAATATTGGAGGATGAAGCCTACACCTACTGCCTCAGGTTAATTTAAATTCTGAATTGCAACAACAGCAACAAGCAAGAAGGGCACCATTAAAATGTATATTGCTACATAAGTACCGTATGATCGAATAAAAACGGCGTCCAGTTGGCTTGGAAATGACGATCGATGGCATTTCCTATATAAATTTACATATAAAATGACAGCACGATCTTCATTTCATAGCCATCGCTGACGCCGTTTTTATTTCATCATACGGTATTATTATACACAGAAAGAGTAATGTTATACACATAAATATTAACATTTTGTAGAGCAACAACACAATAAAAAACCAAAATATGAACACCAGCAACTAAAACAGGAACCATTAAATGAATATTATACACGTAAGTACAATTTGATTGAATAAAAAACGGCGTCAGCGATGCCTATGAAATGAAGATTGCTGTCGTTTTATATGTAAAATAATATGGAGAATGTCATCGAGATGTTCATTTCCAAGCCAACTGGATGCCGTGTTTTTTTGATCATACTGTCAAGACTTAAATATAGGCCAACTTGGGTTTACATCAAATTGGGAAAAATCATGTAAAATATAATTCTAGTAAACCAATTTGATGTGGATTCAGAAGGAAGATAAATTCACGTATACGTCGACCTGAATATGTTCTTATAATAAAACATTGTTAATTAAATAATTAAAATCAGGTCGATGTAAGCGTGATGTTTCAGGGCTAGCTCGTACACTAAATATCGGTGCTGGAAATATGCAAAGGAGATTTTTGAGCACGTACCCGCCGATAATTGGGACGAGCGGAAAAATATAAAATGGTGTGCTGAAGACAGGAGGAGGCGAGTTAGTCCACGGGATGTGAGCCGTATTATACAGTTAGTAATCCGCGTCATCAGTCGGTTAGCAGAAGACAGCGCAGACTGAAGAGATGTTCCTGTAGAGGTACTTAGTTAACTAAACCATTAAGTCTTTGGCATTCCCCAAACTTGTATTATACTGTGAACTCTATGTTAAATAAATGTGTATTTTGTTCAATGGTTGTTTTGATTGAGAGAGAGAACCTGGTATAGCGACCCTAGCAAACAACCCCCAGCTAGGTCGCGACATATAATACGGCTCACATCGATGGACTAACTTACTCTCCTCCTGTCTTCAGCACACCATTTTATATTTTTCCGCTCGTCCCAATTATCGGCGGGTACGTGCTCAAAAATCTCCTTTGTATATTTCCAGCACCGATATTTAGTACGGAGCTAGCCCTGAAACATCAAGCCCCATCGACCTGAGTTTTTAGTATTTTAATTAACATGTTTATTATAAGAACATATTCAGGTCGTCGTATACGCGAACGATTCCCTTGAATCCACATCAAATTGGTTTACTAGAATTATATTTTACATGATTTTTCCCAATTTGATGTAAACCCAAGTTGGCCTATATTTAAGTCTTGACAATACAGTATTATTATACACATAAATAATAATATTATACACATAAACATCCCTTGATAAAGATCAACATTTTGTAGAGCAATAACAGCATCAAATAATGGAAATAATGGACCCTACTGCTCAAATCAAAAACAAAATTTCAGCATTACCACACTTTATTGGTTATATCAAAAAGAAAGTATTGAGTTTATGAGTCTAGATCCTACAAGCAAGCAGACCTATCACATAATTTAAAAAATGAAGATTTATCTATTATAGTATGTATAAACACTTTGCATCTTTTTATTCAATGTTGTAATGAATTAACAAATTGCAGGTAATTTAGTTCTAATAACGAAAAAAACTTTGGATCAAAAAAAATATTTTCTTCTGATGAGGTTTATGAATATTAAAGAATCTGTTGGAAGTTTGGCCATTACGTGTTGGTATACAATTTATTTATGATGTTACAGTAGTTAAACCATCCCGAGTACAAAACATAAGTTTAAAATCCACTATTATTTTTAATGAATGGCAACTACCAACTTGAGAGGAAGCTAAGAGAAAGGTTCTATTGGGTGGACTACAAGGAAAAGGGACATATACATGAGGATCTGGAAGGGCTATAACATTACGTCTCAAGCCATGGAACAATAGGAAATAAAATTCAAAGGAAAATATTACAATACATGGGATGCAAATTATAGTGCAAAGAATTGAGAAAAAGAATCATTAAAAGTAGTTATAGTTACGATAGTTAAACCATCCGACTACCAAATATATTTAAAATCCACAATTCTGAATGAATAGCAACTACCAACTTGGGAGGAAGCTGCGAGAACGATTCTATTGGGTGAACTACAAGGAAGACATGAGCATCTAGAAGGGCTATAAAATTATATTATTATTTCACGTCCCAAGCCATGTTGGAATAGCTGGGAGTGAAAAAGAAGATAATACGATTCTTGTCTAGAAGTAGTTGATATTAAGGTAGTTAAGCCATCCGACTATCAAATATTTAAAATCCACTATTCTGAATGAATGGCAACTACGATGGCAAAACGTAAATAAATACTTGTACAGTATAAAATTATATTATATTGGCTTAATTTTTATACTAAATAAAATGTGTTAC